TTGACATGGATGTTGCCACCAGCCACATCCTATCAGCCTTCATTTACCACTCAATTAATCCTGTCAGGTGATAAATTCACTGATTGCATTAAGGCTCTTATAATCATTTCTTCTCTGAATCTTCTTCCATTGTCTCACATATGAAATTTTGGGGGACACCTCACATCCAAAACAACATTCTACCATTGTCCCCCTAAAGGTCACACTCTTCTGACAATCCAAAATACATTTAGTCCATTCCCAAGAGTCCCCATTGTTTCAACACTTCCAAAATTACTCAAAGTTCAAGGCCAAAGTCTTCTCTGAGGCTTAAAGCAATCTTGTAATGTGAGCTCCTATAAAATTAATAAAACAATTTACAATATCTAATATATAATTATACCCAGTAAATATTTTCATTCAGAAAAACGGGGACATAGAAAAAAATGGATAGGACCAAAGCAAGACTAAAATCCAGCTGGGCAAACAAGTCCTGTAGCTCTGTATCTGACATCTGGAGCACATGACATTATGATGTTCTCTATAAAGAACTTGTGCAGATGCCCCCTCTTGGCCTTGTTGGTTGCAGCCCAAGTGGCCTTTCTGATGGCTTGTTTCTACTCAATTCTTGCAGCTTTCCTATGATGATGTCCCCTGTTACTAGTATTTCTTAATCTCAGGGATCTCCACTGCAGCTTTGAATTTCTCTTCACATCTCCATGCTTTTCCCTCTCAGGAGCTACCAGAAGGGAATCCAACACTGCTACACCTTGCCTAGCCTCCCAGGCCTTCCTTAGAAATCCTGGTGGAAGCCTCCCATTACCCCATAACACTAATACAATGCATTCCTGCAGAACCAGCACTACATGGTTGATACCAAGGTCTGCCTTGATACTACAACCATTTCCCACTTCAGAACTATTGGAATTGTTATAATCAGCTTTTTCACTGCTGGGATTAAAAGTCTACGCCTCCAGGGATACTGGCTGCAGCAACCCCTGAGTTCCTGGGTGGCTGAGCATGTTGTAAAAACTTCCTAGTCCCCCTTGTGCAAGAAGGGTACCCAATTGGTCCATTCTCAAGAAAATTTTTACTTTTACTTTCTTGAATCTGAGATGGCTATAGTCTTGCCAGCTCCTGAGATGCCTTCAAGCCATCTTTCTCATTATCTTTGGGCAAAGTTTTTAGCATTTCTTAGAGGTGGTAATGTCTTTGAAAACTGCAAATTCCTTGGCCCCAGTTTTATTCCTGCATTTCAAGTCCAAGTTGTTCAAATCATTCTGCACTGCTTTCTGCTTCTGATTATCACAACAAATTTGGTTAAAAGCTGCCAGAAATATCCACGCCACCACCCAAATGCTATGCAGCCTAGACATTTCTTCTGCCAGATTAAGAAGTTCATCACTTTTAAAATCAGCTTCACAGAAAGTCTCAGGACAAGGGCAAAATGCAGACAACTTCTCAGCCATAACATAACACAAATGGCCTCTACTCCAAATTCCAATACAGTCCTCCTTTTCTCAACCTTTACTGTCCACAGTCCTTTTGGCATTCTGGTCTTCTGAGATCCCACCAGAATCAGGTATTAATCTCTGTTTCCAACAATATAAAGCATTTCCAGCTTGCACTGCTATACATCTAAAAATTCCTCCCACCAATTCCAAAGAGTTCCAGATGCTTATGAACCACATGGTCTGTATATTCACAGATATGAGCCCACTCCTGGTACCAATTTCTGTATTAGTCAGGGTTCCCTAGAGGAACAGAATCAGTTGGAAGTATAATTGTAAAAAGGGGAATTATTAGATTGGCTTACACAACCAGAAACTCGATAGTCTGCAATGGCTGTCTGTAAGCTGCAGAGATGGAAGATCTAGTAGCTGCATAGTCCAAGACACTGACACCTCAGAACAAGAGGGATCAACAATGCTACCCTAGCCTGAGACCAAAGGCTTTTGGAAAGTTCTTGGAGAATCACTGGCTTTGGAAGAGGGAAGGAGTGAGTCTGATATCCTGAGGTGATCGAATCAGCAAATGAGAACTCATTCAAGAAGAATCCAACTTAAATCTGGTGCTGCTTCATTCTTCCTCCAACTTTCATTCCATCTAAGCCTATTGGACAGTGCTACCCACACTTAGGGAGGAGCTCCAATTCAGTTCCCTATCCCACAAACAAATCATTCCTAAACACACCCTCATTTACATGACCAGAAGACTCTTTGTGTGTGTGTTGCTGGAAACTGAACCCAGGGCCTTGTGCAAGCAAGACAAGCACTCTACCAACTGAGCTATATCCCCAGCCCACTCGGAAGCCTCTTAATCTTTGGCATCTCTTAATCCAATCACATTGACAATTCAAATTAACCATTATAGAATTATAGAAAATGTTTTTAATAAATTTAATTACTTATTAATATATTGTTTGAACTCAAGATTTACTTTTAAATGTGATCATCATCTCCCCTCAAAATGGGTGGATGAAGTTGATCAAAGCACACTGAACACATTGACTGGGTTCTTTGACACAAAGTTTTACCACTCTCTCAAGACACATAGTAAAGTTAAAGTATCCTATCAAAGACAATTTACTGTCATTTATAACTAAAAAGAACCAAAAAATAAAATATAATAAATTAATATAAAATAAAAGGGTTCTTCAGACAACAGTGGGAAAGAGATCCATTTCAGCAGATATGCAATTCTCAATATAGAAATACAGGAAACATGAGAAATCAAGGAAAGAAGATGATTCAAAATTTGACAATAAACCAATAGATGAATCCACATATTCAAATGGATGAAATAAGAGACAAATAATTCAAAAAGTTGAGGGTTAAAATGAACAGTGAACTAAAAGAAATCTGAGCAATGAACTGAGATTATACATTAAGCAAAAGTTTACTTCAATAAGAAGAGATTCTGAAAAAAAAAAAATCCTAAAAGTGAAAGATTCAATACACCATTTAAAAAATTTAGTATAAAATACCACTAATAGATAAGACCACATAGCAGGTAGATTTTTAGGCTTTTTAAGACAAGGTATGTGATCTTGAAAACTCAATCAGCAATAAAGACAAAAAGAAACCATGATCAGAATTTCAGGAAATATGGGACAACTTTAAAAGAAGAAAACCTAGGAATCATTTGAATTAAACAGGATTCTGAGATATAAGCTAAGGACATAGATACACTTTCCAGTGAAAGAATATAAGAAAATTTTCCAAACCTCAGGAATTTGACAAACATCCACATACTGGAGGCTTTCAGAAACAAAAATAAATAATGTAAAAAATTTAAAAATAAACAAATTTTCCATGATACTTTATAAACAAAATGCCTAATATACAGAGGAAAAATAGATTTTTGACAGCCCAAAAGTAAAACTTCATGTCACAGAGATAAGCCAATAAGAATAATGGCTTATTTTCTGTCCCAGTGTACTTCTTTATTTTTGATCACCATGTGTTTTAGATAAATATTAAATTGTGTCTTTTTCCTGTTCATCAAACATATTTTATTCTCTTGCCTCTAAAACACCTCAAGAGTCTAGACAAAGCCAGGCATGGTGGTGCATTCTTGTAATCCCCATGGCTCAGGAGGCTGGGACAAGAGGTTCTCAAGTAGAAACCAGTCTCAGCAATGCAGCAAGGCCCTAAGGAACTTAATGAGACCCTGTCTCAAAATAAGAAATAAAAAGGAGCTGGAGATATGGTTCAGTGATTAACCTCTGCGGTCAATCCTGGTACTAAAAAAGAAAAAAGAAAAAAACGAAAAAGTGTCTAGACCAAGAGCCCAGACATCCTGTATAATCACAAAAGCAGCCTCTGATAAACAACACAAACATCCTCCATTATATTAAATATCAACAGTCAAAGCCATGAATACTTCTCTATATTTAGTAACACAAATCCTGAGTTAAATATCTACTTTGTAAGTTAGATTCACTTGGTTTTCTAAAAGGCATGCCTGGATGATTTTAATAAAAATTCCCCTGCATCATAGAAAGAATAATGATTTAGAGTCATGAGAAGAAAATAATCTTTTGCAAGGCACAAAACAAACAGATAGAAAGCTATCTTTCTTAAAAGCCTTGTATTTGGTCATTTCTATGCTTTGCACCTTAAGTTTTTATTCTTAGTATTAAGAATGTAGGACCAGAAGTCAGGAAGCCTGGTTTTAATGTTAGTTTTACCATTTACATTATGGGCAAGACTGTCGGTATCTATGAGAGCTTGGGAGTCAGATAGGTTGAAATCAGTCTTGGGACTTTGTGAAATCTTTGAAAATTTACTTAACATCTTTTTGCAATCAAAACACTGTCTGATCTACATCCACCCTTCTCTCCCTAATGTCACATCACACTGCAGTATTCTCACTTTGCTCATTCATAATATCTCCTGCTTGACCCTCCAACCCACTGGGTACACTCTAAACTCAGAATCTTTACATATGATATTTCTCTTCCACAGAATTACTTTTCCTCCACAGTTTTACAGGTTATCCCATGAGTTCTTCAGGGCTATGTTGAAATATTTACATTCCTGTGAATCCTACCTTATTTAAAGGATTTAGAACTTTATCCCATTTTGCCTAATCCCAATATTCCTATCTTACTTCCCAGCTTTCAATTTTATATCACAGTAGCTAATATCATTGAATATTTTCCATATTTTACTTATTAATTTCTTATTGTCAGTCTCTTTTGATGAGAATGTAAGTTCCATAGTGCCAGGAACTGTCATCTTCTTTGTTTACTACTGGGTCCCCAGCACTGAAAATGCCTGGCATGTAGAAAATTTTCAATAAGTACTTACTTAACAAATTAATATACAATAAAATTATGAGATAGTTTTTATTGGTTCTTGGTAGCAAGATTTTTCGGCATGATTTCATTGTATCCATAGTGTTAGATCTTTTAAACTTTGAGACTATGTGCAATGCTAACTGGTCTGTAAGTGCTCTGTTGCAGCAACAGCTGTAACTACATATGAAAAGGGTTGATCAGAAACAAACTCACATACCCAGAGAAAAAATTTCCCAAAGCAGAACTCCAAAGGACCACACATCACTCTGGGTTGTATACACCTTGTCAAAAATGGCTTCAGGTGCCATCCACTTAAGTGGGAGTTTTGCCTAAAAAAAACAAGATAGAAGAAAACCCTCAGAATAGAGACTGTAACCCCATTAGAGGCAAGAGTAGTTGTCTGCTGTTTTGTGCCAGGGAACTTTGAACTTACATCTCCTTTCCAGACATAGTCAGGGTCTTTGTAGATGTCTCTGGCCAAACCAAAGTCACAGATCTTTACAACATTGTTATCAGCTAGAAGGATGTTCCTAGCAGCCAAGTCTCGATGAATGCACTAAAGAAAAAAGAAGAAGGTGGCTCTTAGGGCTTTGGGGCCCTAGGATGGTACAGATTAAAAGACTTTCAACCAAAAAAAAAAAAAAAAAGAAAAAGAAAAAGAAGAAGTGGAAATTGAGCATGGAGTTGAAAACGAATGGGAAACCAGAAAAAGGAAGTTTCACAGAGGTGCCCAGCCCCAGAAAACAAAGTACCTTACACAGATAAATTGATCCATTTGGAAATTGGCAGGGTAGGCAGAATCTATAGAATGATAACACCTGTTTAACTCTTACATATTTTGTTCTTTGGACTCTCGTTGACTATCTTACCTTAGAAAAGATCCATTCTCTCCTACTGTATTTCACTGTTAGTGCCCTGAATTACAATAGATCTTATTTTCTCTCATTTGAACAACATCAATGGTTACTTAACTGTTCTCTCTGCTTTCATTCTAGCCACATGGACTAGTGCATCACCCATTCTAGCTATCAAAATTTAATTCCTAAGAAACAAATCTAATCATGTAAAATGCCTGTTTAGAAGCTTTTTATTTTACAGTAACTGGAAACCATTTAAGTTCATATTCCTTGGCATGGCATTCAAAACCTTTACAGTCTATGCCAAGCTTTGTATTCAGCTACATCTTCCTCCTGCCACATTTACCTCCTTGAATCCTATATACCTTAAACTTTTCATTTCTTTATTATACTGCTGAAATATAACTTTCTCTTAGAAACCTTCACAGATTCTCCAGGACTACTCCTATGTAATCACAAAGCATTTATTTCATATTTCTATCCTAGACAATATCCTGTTATATTATATGTAGTATATCTTTCTTATTGGATTCTGAGGAAGGAGAACTGCATCTTTCATGTCTGTATCTCAGCTTTTAGCAGAAAGAACATTACAGACAATCACCACATATTTGCTGAATAAATTCATTTTCAGTATAAAATAATGTGGGTAATTAACAGGTCTAAATAATCCTAATATAGCCACCTTCTAAATTAGTTTGAAAAGTAAGTCCCCCAAAACTGTAGGAAGGCAGGTGAGTAGCTGTCTCAAAGGTGAATGCATGTATGCATATTTTTCAAAGACTAATTGGAGAGAGAAAATTGGAACACAAGCATAAGGTAAGACTATTAAAAAAGAAAAACAGCTACCATGGACACTGTGGTCATTATAATCCATCTTCCTTGCATCTCCAATCAATGGAAGTGAAGGAAAAAGAATAATGAATGCTCACTTTTCTGGAAGCAAGGAACTCCATTCCTTTGGCTACTTGGAAGCTATAGCAGATGAGGTCCTCTAAGGTAAGGGGATGCTTGAAGAGGTCATCTGAGAATAGGAAGAACAGAGAATATTACAGATGGCCAAGAGTTGAAGAATGTCCGATAATCCTGGATAGGTAATCATAAGGTAGAGGAAAGACACCTTATTTCCATGAAACCATAGAGAACAAGGGACAATTTTTTTTGACAACAGGCCTTGGTATGACTTACTCCACTAGGATAATATGTGCGTTTTTAAGTAATTGATTCAAATCCTTGTGAAGGAAAATAATCTAAAATTGTGTCTCTGTTGATTTAACAGCTCATTCCTTGAATGTTCTGTTGAAAGTTCTTTTGAAAGACAGGTCTGTCTTTCAAAAAATAATAAGTGGTTTATTGATATTCCCTTGCCTCTTCTGAGTACAAGAGAATGTAGACGATTTTTAGAGGCAAAGTTTGGGAATCTCCAGTAAATATCCATGATTAATGGTGACAACAGGACTGGATTTTTATAATCAGAATGTTTACTTGTCATGTATATTCCCTATTTATTGCTTGTTTGCCCTTCTCTTCATTTTTCTCAAAACATATAAAGTTCAAAGAAATTTCTTCTGCTCTTCCTGATGTTATGCCATCCCCAAAATATAATTAGAAGGTCCTTTATAATGATTCTAGACCAATTCCTTCCATCATTTCACAGGAAGGGAAACTGAGACCTATAAAAGAGATGTGGCTTCTTCAAGGTAATAAGACACAGATCAAAGGATTCTCAAGAAAGTGAAAATTACTTCATTTCTATAAGCCAGACAGATACTACAGATGAAGGTCTATTTCTGACCAACAGGACAATGAAAGAACATAGGATGAGTAAGAGCACAACCACCTTGGGAAGATCAGAAGTAGCACTTAATGTAATAGGCAGAAACCTCAGGTAGAACAAGAGTAATGTCACTCAAGGTCAATGCCTAAGTCTGACAGTTTTGACTGGAATGTTGGGTAAAATAAGAATAGGTGGGATGCCTGAGTTCAATTTGTTTTTTTATAAATATTTATTTATTCCATTTTGGAAAATCTATTATATATTTGTACAGCTCTAATAGTTGCTTATTCTTGAAATATTTTCACATTGCTTGGAAACAGCTATATCCCAAGATACCCAAGTTACTCCAACACTCCAGTTACTTCTTTCCTGTCCAAACTTTTCCATGATTCAGCAAATAAAGGGTATATCCCAGCCCATGGATACACTAGGTATCTATATTAGTCTCTATTTTAGAAAATATCTTAATGTCTGTTAATCATATGTTGTGTTTTACACACTAATATTTTGTAAAGTCATCCACATTATTTGTTAATAATTAAGTATATATTATACAGTTTGAGATGGAGTTAATATAGGTTAATATTTTTTATATCATCCCTACTTTGAGTAATAGTACTTCTCTGTTATGAGAATAAGCACCTCTAACCATGTCATGGGAAAGATGGAGGAAAACCTTCATGCAAAAATGATTTGGAAACTGTACATGTCTAAAACATTATGGGATATCATCATTATAAGATACTTCTGATTGCTAATTTAAGTGCAAGTTCAGCATACAGCAAAAGTCCTCCATGTTAGATAGAAATGGCTACAGAAAATGGTATGGGATTTTCTGGAGTTCCACTATTTAACTTTGCCTGGTCTTGCTGATTAGGCCTCATTTGCCCACTGACTCCTTACTTCATACCCTCATTAGCCTTGAGGTTTTGCCATAAGGAAAGGGTCTACTTGTACTTACCTACATGGTGGGTTGTTGTGGCCCCCAGAAGGTAGCAGCTAGCTTCTTCCTCCTCATCAGATTCACTGTAACTCTTGTCTTCTATAAAACCAGAACTGATGGAACTTCCTGTGCTAGCCACATTCTGCAGATGATTCTTAGTTAGCTGAGTGAGATCACTGTCAGAATCATGCATAGTCTTCACCTTTTTTCCCATATTGAGCTGGGACTGAGAATTTAAACAGATCATCAGTGTTTGAAGAGAACTTATGAATCATCCAATTCAATTTATTCTATTTTCATTAGAGAAGCTGAGAACCAGAGAGGTATAAGAGAGTTCTGTGAGTTCACATAATTTGACAGCAAATCTGAGAGTGATGACTGCTAATCTAAAATTCTATTACCTATATCAAAATGCCAGCTAGTTTATCCTTAGTGGGAAGAAATTGCTGAGAGTTGACCATCTGAGTGTGTTACCTTGCCATGGAATTCAGCAGGCCTGCATAGGACAAGGATATCTCATAACCAGCAGTAATTCAAATGGTGTCAAATTATTATCTTCCTATGCTCAGAAATTGGGCAAATAGAAGGGAGTCAGCTCTGTTTTAAAATTATGATTACTTCCTTTCCATTTGCTAAAGATAGACTGAGGTGGAACTCATTGATGAAAATAATAAATTGCTAACTAAGTTCAGAGTTCCTAATCAGTTGGATGGATTCTAGAAGTTATTTTATTAATTAATACCCAATATCAAAAAATTTCAAAATAAATCACAACATAATGATCACGTACAACACTTTGCAGTACTTTGTGAAGTGGAGAAACCAGCTTTTCTCTGGGAAGACAAGGACAGTTGCAACATGTATATCAGGGGACAACAACAAAGTGCTAACAGGAGATATATGTCTTTAATTATTTCCTTAATGGTGGAAGTTATCCAAAATATAGAGCTTCATCCCAGATTTCAAAGAAATAGAGAGATCCGGCATGTCTATGAAAGCCTAAAGGCATAATGGAATCTTGGCATACCTCACCAATTTGGGCCTCAGAATATAAGAGAATTACACACACAAAAGTTATAATTTCAGCTAATGACAGAATTCTGAGTGCCAGTTTCAAAGCAACATCAGTGGAAGTGATTCTAGAGGTAATTTAATTCAAATCTTTATTGGATGCATAAGTGTACATACTATTATTCCTGATTAATAATCCCCTAGCCTCTGCTATCCCCTTCTCCCTCTTTCTATGTATCATCATAAAATCTCCAGAGAAGACTCAAAACGTGGAATAGAGTGTGGGGTTCAATTGGAGAAACCTACCTTGGAAGCAATAAAATCTCCTCTCTTCCCTCTCAGAAAATTAGCTAGGTTTCCATATTTGCAGAATTCTACTATGATCATCAAAGGACCTGCCAAAAGTAATATTTATAGTCATCTTTTCATGAAAGATAGTAAAAGGTAGCCAACTCTTGGGCTACTCTGACCTTGGTAACCTGTTGGACATGGAATATCCTAAAATTTCATTAACTCTCTTTAGTTGTAAACTAGTTGATGGATAAATTGAGCTGGATACAATGGTGACTGACCTCAAAAACATGCTGGCTGCTGAAAGATGAAAAAGTGAGATTGGCAAATAGGGGAAAATAAGGTTAATAACCCTGCTGAGCTTACCTGTGAAGTTCCCTAAGATGTACAGCATAAAATATGAAAGAATTAATAGGACAGTTTACACTCCAATGACCAAGGCAAATGTGAACACAACTCGTTGGATATTTTAGGCATTATATTACCTTTCCCACTTTATATATTGTTGTCCCAACCCCACCATCATTTTATTGATAACATTCGTTTCTAAAAGTTTCACTCAATGGACTAAATTTTTCTGCAGTTTGCTCATGGCTTTCAAGTTTATTTGTGTTTGCCTTGATGTGTATTTTATTCATATTTATTTCAGCAGCACTGCTCTCCCCTAACATCCTTAAGGAAGACCCTAGCTAAAATCAGTGGGTGCTTAGAAAATGCTGTTTGAAATAAAGGCAAGTGAAAGGACAGTGCAGTAGAATTGTCATAGGGGAAGAAACAAAATGTTTTAGATTTAATGTAGAGAAGAAATATATAAATGGACAGGGCATGGAAATATGCTTGTTGAAAAAGTGGGTGAAACCCTCCTCAGGCTATGGTAGTAAGTACACTGAAGGTAAGATAGATGACTCAAGAAGTCTAGAAAGTACCATGTCTTGAACAGATTTTCACATTTCCTTGGCAAATTCTCTAACTATCCTGTCCAAGATCAGATACAATGTTGAGCTAGCAGGAATCTTAGACATAAACTCAATTTCTTTGTATATTGTACAGCCTTCCCTAGAGCAGGGGGCTGAGAACATGAGTACTGGAGATCCTATGAAGTGTGATAAGTCTATAAGTTATAAGAACCTCACATGCAATTCAGGTAGTCATCTAAATCAGGGACTACCTTGCTTCTGAGCATATAACCTCTAGGAAAGAGATCTGTATAGCTATGAAAGTCTTCTTACCTCCAGGCTTAGTGCAGGCACCCAGTAAGTTGACCACATTGAGGTGGTGACCAATGTGAATGAGGATCTTCAGCTCTGACATTAAAGCCTTACACTCATTGGATGTTGCACAATCTGTTTGAGATAAACACAATAATCATACAAAAGGAAATTTTTTTGTCCCTAAGAGTAATGGTGGAGCATATGAAATACAACTTCCTGGTAAAGGAATTCTGGCAGAAAAGTCTGGAACACAACCACTCAGATGTTGGTTTGTCATCCTTTCCAAACAATATTTAAACAAATAATATCTTTGTAGCATGTCCTAATTTGCCTCTACTCTGAGCTCTATGCAGTATTAGCCTCAATAACGTTTCTGATTTTTCGTTTTGAAACAGGTACTCTTAGAATATAATCCTTTATGTGATAAACATTTTATCAATTACTGTACTATAAGAGGTAATGAGTTAATTGGCCCAGATTGTTCTAAATATTGATTTTTGTGGACATGTGGAATCAGAGGCATGGATTGGATAGTATTCAAATGTTTAGACACATGTTTATCCATTCAAGACTAAAAACACACCATAATTGATGCATCATGACCAGTGGAGAATTCACTTGGATTTCTATTCAAGTATATATGATACCATATAATTCCACTGATACATTGAGATTCTGATAGCCAAATACCATTAAGGACTTATACTGATGTTACCAGCAATTAAAAATATCAGGTTATAAACCAAATGCTGAATGTTTTCTTTGATATAAGGAAGCTGATTCATAGTGGGATAGGGAAGGGGAGCATGGGAGGAATAGACGAACTCTAGATAGGGCAGAGGGGAAGGAGGGGAAAGGAGGGGACATGGGGTAATTAATGATGGTTGAATATGATGATCATTATTATCCAAAGTACATGTATAAGGACACAAATTGGTGTGAGTATACTCTGTATACAACCAGAGATATGAAAAATTGAGTTCTATATATGTAATGAGAGTTGTAATGCATTCCATTGTTATATATAAATAAAAAATATATATATCAGGTCATTACTTCTGCATTTAAGTTGTTGTATGCAAAGGAGATAAACAGGTTGTCATACAAGTTTCCACAATGACTGGTCATACTTATGTGGCTGCTATTTTTCATGAACATGAAGATGGAATGATGGTAGAAGCTGTATTTATTTACCTCCTTTACTTCCAGTTCATGTCTTTCACAGTACAGTTTTCTACCTGTCCCCAAAGTATACCTATAGATGTTCCTCAATGGCTTCCAAAGCATTAGAAATATTACCTTTTAGCATCTTCACTGCCACTGTTTTACAGGTTGAAGCTTTGTCGATGCCAAAGGCACAAGCTTCTATCACTTTACCAAAGGCACCATGGCCCAGGATTTTGCCTGAGGGGAACAACAAGTAAAAATTAGCAATTGTGAAAGACCTCAGAAAAAAGTGCACATTTGAGTTCTTGTAACGAATACCAGCATCCCAAAGACAAAGCATTCACAGGGAGGTTTTGCAGACCACCCTATGTAAAATTATAATGCTGTTTTCCTCTATAATACTTAACTACTAGATAATATTTTATTTATTTATCATTTATTGTTGTATCTATCTATTATTAATCTACCACACTAGAATGTAAGTTCAATGAAGACTTTCTTGTTAATAACTATATACTCAGCAGCTAGGATAATGTTTAATACATAGTAGATACCTAGCGAATATGTGTGTATGAAGCAAGCGAATGAAAGGTTATACCACATCAGCCATGGAGACAAAGAACTTTGTGGGTTGAGGAAGATCCATAATGGCCTACAGACACATACTAGTTCAGTAGGCAAAAGTGTTATATACCTTTTAAACGTTGTAAGTCTCCTAGTAATATACTTTATTAGTAATCACATTAGCTACTGGTATTCTGGATATAAGTTTAAAGTCATTCAAGTGCAATTATTTATGGAAAAGACTCTGTGCTTCCTATAGCCCAAGAAATTTTTGTTAAAGAGATTCTAATGAAAACCAATCCCTATCATTTGTGAAGTACTTTAAATTTGTAAGACATATTGGCAAATGTTCTCACACTGAATTCCCACAAAAGTGATGGAATGTAAGAAAATACACATCAGTCCTAATGTCTCCCTTTTATAAATGAGAAAAACATGTCTTACAGAAGTTAAGGGACTTCTCTTCTCTAAGATTACCTAGATTGTACATCTAAAATCTTTTAGTTGCATGTTATATGTACAATACAATTCTGCTACCCTAATTTCTAATTTTTGATTTGTTTACTATCACCACATTTGAAAAAAATATATCCAATTTTCTAGATGAATCATGAATGAGGTTGAATAGTGTTGCATACAATAATCTAAGTGCAACCTAGATTTTAGTGAAAGAAATTGGTACATACCCAACTGTAACCGGGCCCGAGGAAATTCCCATTTGCTGTCATCATAGGGAAGCCTGTCACATTGTTGATCAAGGGGCATTTCTCTAGGATCCACAATGATGGAAAGGTAGCTTGTTTTGATTTCTGAAACACTGGGCTGCAGAAAGTAAAGGGGAAAAACACCTTACTCTGTTTTATTTCTCTTCTCATGTGGTATAAGGCTTCTGAAGTTCACCATTTTACATCATAAGGAGTTTCATATAGTAAGAAATATGTACAAAAAATAAAGATAAGAAAAAGCACAATAAGAACACAATTAAAATTAAATTGACAATTTGGGAAAACAGTTGCAACAAACATAACATACAAGGAATAATACTCATGTAGGGCACAGACGGAAGGCAAAGCGGCGCGGGCACTCAGCCCAGACAGAAGGTGGAACAGAATGCAGAGACTTTGCTTGTGGGTCACCAGACTGAGCTCTGGACAAAGCACAAGGTCTCCTCAGCATCCCCCACCTCACCAAACACCCTATGCGAGAAACATATGGAATCCATTTTGGAAAACCTTAGTCGCCATTAATCAGTGGGCGTGGCTACCAGCACGATTCTGTGTCTGATCAGGTACCTGGTTTCCAATTCCCCCACCACCAGTTGTGATAACTCAAAATTTTTCTCACAAGCTTTTGGGGCGTGTAGCTATCAATGCAGAACAGCAACTGTACAGGCACCTGATTTCCATCTCTGAGACTAAGAGTAGGGAGGCTCCAGGTGGAAGCTCAAATCCTCTCACACTGGCTACCTGACCACCCTCAATGCAGAGACTCAAGCTAGAAATAGATAACTCCACATACTGGAAAAAAAGAAAACAGAGTTCTGAGAGACCTTTTTTTTTTTTTCTTTTTGCTTTCTCTTCTTCTCTCTCTCTTCTCATCCATTCTCCTCTACCCTTCCCACTCTGGTCCTCTCAAACTCAACATATATGAAACCAAGAACTTTTAATGAAATAGGACTTTAAAACTGAATCACCAGAATAATATAATATAGAGGAATTGCATATGCCCCACCTCCCTCCCCTTTTTTCTTCTTATTTTCTTTCCCCTCTCTCTTTTTTTCTTTCTTTCCTTGTTAATTTTTTCCTTCTTCCTCCCTCTACCCCACTTTCAACCCCCTAACTTCTACTAGTTATATGTAGGGTAATTTTCTAAGTACAGATAGGAGTTTGAATTTATACATTCTTCCATAAATTACCCCTTTCTATTCGTTAGAGTTCTCCTCCAAAGTTGCTAAGTTAGATTAACCCCATACCCTCACTCCTTTCCCCCTTAACATAACATCCTATGTGTAACCTTTAGTTCTCTATATGCCATCAGAAATGGTATGCCTTTTATGAAAATAATAACTATATTTTAAATAATAATTGAAGCCAACATCTGTAGACAGAGAGTCTAACTATAAATGTATTAATAATGAAAACTTGCGCATCGATGATGTACTATTGATATTGGGAACTTATAACTGTCTTTCTCCACAAAATAAAGATTTTGGAACTGTACAAGAGTAATATAAATATATAGGAGAAAAACATTAACAGTTACACAAAGCTGGAAAGAATGTGAGCAGTATGAAAAGACAAGTAAAGAAAGGACCACAAACAATGCAGGTCAATTCAACATTAGAAGAGGTAACATCTGCAGCAGAAGGAATGTCAGACAAAGATTTCAGGATATACATGCTTCAGATGATCCGGAGTCTCAAGGAAGACATTAGACAGCAAATTCAGACAATGAAAGATCACTTTGACAATGAATTACATAAACAAATCCAAAAAGCAAAAGATCAACTCTACAGGGAGATAGAGGTTATACAAAAAATAAAAAAAAAGAAAAACAAAAATCCTGGAAATGAAGAAAATAATAAACCAAAACTCAAATGAGAGTATTACCAGCAGAATAGAACACTTAGAAGATAGAACATCAGATAACGAAGACAAAGTATATCATCTCAAAAAGAATGTATACAGCTCAGCAAGACTGATAATAAACAATGAGCAGAACATCCAAGAAATATGGGATAGCATAAAGAGACCAAATTTAAGAGTTATTGGGATACAGGAAGGTACAGAACTCCAAACCAAAGGAATGAGCAATCTGTTCAATGAAATAATATTAGAAAACTCCTAGACTTGAAGAATGAAACAGAAATCCAAATCCTAGAAGCCTACAGGACGCCAAATGAGCAAAATCACAAGAGATCCACACCAAGACACATTATAATGAAGATGCCCAACATACAGAATAAGGAGGGAATTTTAAAAGCCACAAGAGAAAGGAAGCAGATTACATTTAGGGGTAAACCAATCAGGATCTGCACTGCTAGAAGGGAAGGCACATGGAAAGCACGAAAAAAAAGATGAAGGAAGAAAGTGCTCCAATCAAACCAAGATGATACAATAATAGATTCCCTTGACAGCACAGTAGATGAAATGTCAGAAAAGGACTTCCAAATATACATAACTAAAATACTCTGCAAATAAAACAATGACATAAGAGAGCAAATACAGGCAACGATTGATAACAAAGAGATAAGAGAGTAAATACTTCTCTGTATATTTTAACAGTGAGAATCCCTAGAGGGAAGTTTTTTAAAAACCCCCAAACAAAGGAAGACTAAAACACAGCACATAAAAATGTGTGAGAGGCAGAAAAGACAGCACCAAGAGGGAATTTTATAGCAATGATTGTCTACGTTAAAAAAAAAAAAAGATAGGAAAATACCAGATTAGAGGAACCCACTGCATGGTGGCTGCTTTCCAAGTGGAATGAAAGCATCAGTTCTGCAGCTGCATGAGGCAGGAAGGCTGTTGGAAAGTTCCCTAAAGCAACCTAGAGAGGAAGTAATCAGGAGAAACCCAGGAATATCCTGATAGAATAGAAAGAGAATTAATAGATTGTGTCAGTGCCAGGCAAGGAAAGCTCCCTGCCAATGAACTAAAAATTTCCCAATGAGTTTAATAAAGCAGACTCCACTGTCAAGCAAACTTCAATCTGAGAAGTAAAGAATCTCAGATACTACAAATTTAGATATTTCAGAATAGGGCCCTGGCACTTAGAAGCAGATTTAGTTTAAGTGGGAAAATAATGTCATTAAAGAATCCACATGGTTTACATCATGTCCAGGGGGGATTCAAAATCACTGCAGTTTTTCTTTTTCTGTTTTCTTTTCATCTGGTTGGTTTGATTTCTATTTGTACTCACAAATGGCCACCTATGCTTTACTTCTCACTGGATTAATGGATAGTCAAGCCATGAGTCAATCTGTGTGCAAAAGTGAGACTATGGTAAAGACTTGGGGAAGCACTATGGGGTAATAGGAGCTGAAGCTGCCAGAATGCATATCTACAGTTTCATTTGTAATTTGTGGTATAAAATTTAAGGTAATAAGCAAGGATGAGAGGCAGTGAAAGTAGGTCATGTCTGGTTTGGGTAGTAAGCTGCTACCTGTAGCAATCAAACACAGGCCTAGCCAACTCCACATGATTAGAAGTTTCTGGGTAATCTTCTATTACATAATTAGGGCACATATCTCACAACTCCCCCCAGCATATATACTGAGGCTTTTGGAATGAGGTGTGATATGCATGTTGGATTATTCCACAGGCTCTTGAGAGTGCTTGACAGTGGCTATGACCAGAGCTACAATCCCAACACCAGATACCAAAACACAGAGATACTGAGAATAAAGTCTGCTCCAAAATGGAAAATGCTGCCCAAGAGTCTGCTGCCAGGCAGGGCTAGAGAGAGCTCAGCATACAGGCACTGCTAACAAGTTTGCCTGGTTTAGGTAAGTGCAGAGAACAAATATAAAGTAAGATAACTATTCCATAAACTTCTGGATGGTGGGGGGATTCTAAAATTGAAGCCATGGAAAAAAGTATCTCCACTTTAAATAATTCACCAAGGAGAAAACTGAAACTTTTAATAATTGTTTTTGAATTAGCTATTTTGTATAAAATATTTTGTTGTGTCTTCTCTATTTGTTTTTTTTTTCAGAGTTCTGGTTAATTTTACCCATCTCTTTGATTAATTAGATAAATTCTTGGTATCTCTTCTCTGCTTTCCCAACTCCATTCTCCTCCATTCTCTTTCATACTTCTCTTCCTCCTCATTTTATGTTGTTTCTTTCTTCCTCCATACTTTTTTCAGTCTTTTCTTTCATTTTCTTCCTTATTTCAATATAATTAAATATTAGGTATTGTTTTAGTTAGCCTTTTTCATTGCTATAATCAAAACACCTAAAAATAACAATTTTAGGGAGATAAAGTTTATTTATCATTCCTGGTTTCAGAAGCCTCAGTTCATAGATGGCTGATTCCAAAACTCTAGGCCAAGGTGAGGCATAGCATCATACTTAGAGAGTATGGAGGAGAAATTCAACACATGACAATCAGGAAGAAGATAGAGAGAATGAGTTCTCACCAGGGACAAAAAAATATACCTCAAGGGTATGTCTCCACTGACCCAGCAACCCAATCCACAAATTCCCTGCATCCAGTTACCACCCAGTTAATCCTTATCAGTGAATTAATGCACTGATTCTTTTAAGGCTCACATAATCCAATCATTTCACCTCTGAATTGTATTTTCTCACACATGACCCTTTTAGAGATACTTCATATTTACAGCATAACATGTATATCATTAATGCCAAATTTTCACCCTATTCTATAATATTACTCACCCACATTCCTTCTTAGAAGAGTAGTGTAGATCATTAGTAATGCATTCATAAATATATGTTTGTTTACAATTTGTTATTAAGGGACCCATATTACTAGTGATTACATTCTCCTCACAGTCCAGTGCTGGTGGTAGAACTCAGCACTTTGATTATACTGATATTTTGATGCTAGGATATAACCCCAGTTCAGATAAGATTTTAAAGAGCTAACTACTCACTAAAAGACCCTCACATAATAAGAGGAACCAATCATGACAGATGCATAAACAACATAGAACTTCTGAAAGCATGAGGAATGAAGCCAACAAGACACCTCCAAAAGTTCATAAATCTACAATAATTGTATCCATGGATATTTAGGTAGATAAAATGTTAGACAAATAATTCAACAAATTGATGGTTAAAATGATGGATTATT